GCCCAAAGTAGAGATAAGCAGCAGAAGTAAATATAATACTTGGAAATGCAGTTTCCCTCAAAAGGTTTGAGTCAAAAGTAAGATACAGACATTAAGTGGGTTAATTCCTTTCTCTCTACACAATTTTTCAAAATGTAATTCTGCCACTTTAAAAATGTTGCCCCTGAAGTACAATGTAAAGTGACAAAACAAAATGCCTTGTCTTAATACACGAAGAGAATGAAACTCTTTCCTTCTTGAAACTGTTAACAGTCCAAGGCAGCAGTCTTTTCTGAAACGCACATAAGGAGCAGCAGTTTAATGGGAAGAAACTTATCAAGCAATCCAATTCTTCCACTTAAACCTTATTCATCCTCAGCGTCAGTCTGCAGGCCGACAATTCAAACCACTTGGCTCACAGTGAGACGCTGGAGCGTAAGAATAGCTGCTTTCTGTTACTCCCTATCAGCACATCATCCACCATCTAACAATGTGTGTATGCTATGAGGAAAGCATTACGGTACTGCAGACATATCGCTGCCACTCCGCTTTAGAGCTTGAAAAACTTCTCCCATGGGCGATTCTGCACCATCATTCCCTACTTCTCATTCAGACATGGGTACCGCTCCGCGTAAATATATACAGGAGACAGCTTCCAGGAAAACGAACAATGCCCGGCACACTTATTTGTCATTTTATGTACACGTTATCGGGTCAGATCTCTTTTCTTCTACCTGGAAAGAATTAACTGACAAATGAACTGACATATTGCCCTCTAACAAAGACTAGGTTAGGTTTTTTAGTATATGAAACTAGTTTTTAACTATATAAATTCTCTGTCATTCTTAAGGGTAGTTTCTGGGGAATAAAAGAGGGAGAAGAGAGAGAAAATAAGAATAATTCTCTGTTGCTCTAGTGCTAACATAGCTGTTCAAATACATACAGAGTAAATGCAAAATGTCTACCTTGACCTGTGAATGATTCAGGTGGACTACACCTCTGTATCAATGGCTGTGCCTATAATAAAGTAGCATATAATAGGTCTCAAGTTGCATCCAAAGGCAGCTTTTTACCACGAGGTAGTTATTCAAACATAACATTACTTTTGCTGTTCTTACAATGGTGGAAAGTGCCATACTGTTTCAGTGGAATTTCAGAAAAGTGCTGATTCGAGAAGGTCACACTTATTTTTAGTACAGATTTCCTTTTCAGCAAATACTCAGTTCTGGTTGGGCTCCTGGGAGTGATGCAAATGTTCTCACTTGCAACTGTACTGAAACTACTTTCTAATCAAAAGTGTTTGTGAATGCAGTGTCTGATGAAGCATGAGTAGCTAGACAGTGATGCCGAGCAAGTACAGGCACTGCCTCCAAATAAAAGTTTTGCAAACATTCAGTGGAGAGATCTTCAGTCAGTGTAGACCACTGCGGCTCAATCTGGCCTGCATTAAGTCCTACTGGTTGAGAGACAACTGGTTCTGAGAACTCCAGTTCTCTCTGCTCAAAACATGATTACTGCTCCTGTTGAAGGAAGCTAGTGGTGACAAAGAGTGAGTTTTGATGGTGTTCTTTTATCAGCAGACGAGCTAATAAAATACAGCCCTGCAAATGTTTATGAGCATGTTTTATAACCTATGTCTAATGCAATGACTTGTGGCCATTGAGTTGGTGGAATAAATCAGGTTTCTTCTAAGCTTAAAAAAACCCCCAACTAATCTGCTTCTTGCATGCCTAAGACTATATATATGCAAATATAACTTTATGCAAGATGTTTGGTGCTCTAATTCTTCTTTCTGAAGTTGATGGTTACAAATACCTATGTAAGACGACAACTTCTGGTTACTTTTGTGTTCCCTCCTTTTTGTCATATTATGATTAAGTATAAATAAACCATAGGATCTCTTAACTTCTACAGAAATCAAAGTTTTTTCTTCCTAGGTGGAATACGTTTTTCTGTTTGTACACTGCAGCCCAAAGATGAACCATCTCTAAGTAGGACGTGCACAGATACTAGTGCAATATAGTTGGTGTTACTATTGTATTTATTCACTCAAAGCCTATGTATAGGCACCTATGTATAGGCACCTTAAAATACACATAGTCATATTCATAAACATATACCTCCCCATACACGTAAGTGCTTGACACAGGGGCATTTAATTTTGCAAAAATCATGCTGCTGGCATGAAACAGTTTGTGAAGCTAAGAAAGTAATGACCATCCCAAATCAAGGAGAGATTTTTCTGTGCCAAGTGCCCTCCACTATGGCTATCCATGGCAACCTGAGCCAACAAGAAGCCACAATGATAAGCTCTGCTTTGTGCTGTCTGACATTTTTAGCATTTAAAGAACAACGGTTTGAGTGGAAATGCATATATAATAGCTGCTTGGATAAGGAAATTATTACATGGCTGCTGCCATTAATACCCTAGTAACCACATTATTGTACCTACAGCTTTTAAGTTCCAGAAAGGTTATAACAAATCACACGAAAAATCCTAAAAGGAAGAGCTAACTTCCTGGTAAACTCCATAAAACTGTAAGGCCAGATTTGATCTTGAGAACAAATTCAACAGCAACAGCAATGACTGTGTAGACACATCTATAAGTAA